GAAAGAGTGAGAAGTCTTGAGAAAAGATGACTGTTCTTCACACTAGTGACATTAGAAATTCATGTTTTTACCACGGCTACAGCAAAGAAAGTCTAAATGACTGATGGAAATTGCCATTGCTACCTTGGTTGACAGCCCTTAAAGGAAGAAATATTCTAAAGGTAAATATTTCATATCAGGCCTTCTGCATTTGACTGAGGATGTCTGGATTATGTTGACCTTTCTACTACCTTAATGACTTTCTAAGAGACAGCTGAAGCCAAGGGATTATGTCAGACAGTTCAATGACAGGCTTTTATCCATCCATTTTTTCCACACAGCTCAGAAAACATTAATGCTATTAGCAGCAGCAGTATTGGGGTTTGGGATTAAAAAAGCCAACAAGGCAGTTTTAACAGTGCAAGAGACTTACATCAAGAAGTTAAAAAGATGTGGGCTTAATCAATGATTAAAACAAATGTCCTTTTTGTGTAATTGGACTAGGATGGTGAGAAGTTATTTCCTCCCAGCTCCACATGAGGAATTCCATGGTCTGTTCTAAATCATAATAGAATAAATGAGGAATGATTCCTTTCATCAGTTACAGTCGTCACCATACAATGAGGATATGAAGGAGTCTACTTCCATTGACTGGTAGGATCAGGTAATAGTATCTTGTTTGACAGACTGGGTCTGCTTTACTTTTTGAAAAATCTATTTGGTTCTCTTAGAAGTTTCAATGTTGCTATTCTCTGGAATTCAAAATGTTACAGAAATGCCATTTTTCCAAGTTAAAAAATGCAAAAAGTAGAAGTAATGCCCCGATCAGATATTACAGCAATTTTTACTACTGTTTTGGGTTTTTTTAATTGCTGTTTTCCTGACACAATTTAGCTTAAATAATGTAGGCTGTGGGGACATCTGCAGGAAGCCAAACAAGTGTAATGTATCGGGGCTTTACTCTGTCTTATTGGGTATATTCCCCATAATGATGTGGAACTTATAATTTAATATTGTTTTCTACTTCTCACCTAGCAGAAAGACCGAGGAGGGAACAGAGACACTTCTCTAGAATTATGGCTAGGTAAAAGTACAATTATATCATAGAAAGGAATTGGGCAAAACTGGCTGCAGAATATGCTGTTTCTACGTAGTTAATTCTATTTAGGGGTGTCAAGCTTTTAAGTATAAGCACTGTTCCTGATGTCTTCTAAATAGAACAGCTCTTTGTTAACAATTATAATGCTTTTTACACATCATGTAGATATGTAGCATTATTCATTTGCACTTTGCTGCCATTAATTAATAAAGCCTGATGCCCACCTCTTTTTATTCAGTTATAATGTAGGAAGAACTTCTCATCGCCCTTTAGAAAGAACTGCAAAGCATTATCTCAGTAATGAGTCATTTAAAAGAAAATTGACAGACTTACTGAGCAGATTACAGCCAGCCAAGTTCACCCTGTGAAAACCAAAGTGGATACATGGATACAACCTGGATGACTTAGCACATTCAGAATTATCACTTGGGGTCCTTGTATTTTAATCCAAATGTCAAGGGCAGCTCAGTACTACAGGATCTTTTGCTGCTACAGTGTTTATGGGAACTGAAAGGGGCGCTGCTTTTGCACTGGATGCATCAAGACTTGTTTGCCTGGCAATGCCTCGGTGCTGGACACTCCAGTCTCTAAGTCCAACTTTATAGCACGCACCGATGTTCACAGGACATGACACGTATGCCAGCCAGAAAAGCAGCACTGCTGAAATAGTTCCTCCTTCTACACAAAGTGAAAGAAATCTCCAATGTCTTTTTAATAGTCTGTGGCATTTTAGTAAAGGAACTAATAGATCAACATTTCTGTGAATGGCTTCTATAGCAAATCCTATTGCTCATTATTTTGTCCAGCTGCTGCCTAAATCTTGCTAGGCTTTTGTGGTAACCAACTAAATAAAGCAGCTAAAGGTTCAGGGAGAAAACAGATGATTCATTGAAGTTCTGTTACCTTTCAAACTTGGATAGGACATTTGTGGAATATAATACGAGAGAATATACACTTAACTATTTCCCCTAGTTTGCAACTTCTTTTCTCCTAAACTCTGGCAAATTCATTCATAGTTCTTACACAGAGTACTTTCTGCAGATTGAGAAATGTACAGCTGAGACTTCTCAGTAGGTCTTAGCACATACTGAGGAAATCGATAACGCTCTGAACTGCCACGCAGTCACTTGCAAAACGCTCTTTTTATGGCTATGCCACTTGTTATGAGAAAAATTTAATCTGTGTTTTGCTGTTTCAAAGTGGCAGCAGGCTTTAGCAAAGTTGGCTCAATGGTAAGACATACTAGCTGTGAAGATACATGCTTTCATGAACCTACATCAAACAGTGCATGCCGAGATTTTCGTAAGTATAGCAGCCATCCACTAGAATTAGAAAACTGATTGTAAAAATGGTGCTTGCCACTAAATGTGAATTGTTCCTGTTTGTTTTAAATTTGGGTAAAATCAGCCTTTACTCTCCAGAGTCTGTGTAGGTAAGGACAAAAGCTAGAGCTGCTCTGTTGATGGGGTGCCAAAGTTTCAGTGATCAGCAGCACAACGCTGTCAGATTGGCTCTTTACACATCCCCGTTGCAATCAGCTAAAGATGGGGACTCAAGCAGCATCATAAGTACAGTTGTATGTTAATAGGAGTTATAACTGCATTATGATTATATGGTCACCTTGCTTTCAAACTCTTCTGCTTCTTTCAGCTCCTGGGGATACCCATCAATCAGGAATCCTTTTGTGTCCCCTAACTTGGAAACCATGGCTTCCTTCAGTAGCTCTAGGACAATACCCTGCATGGGGAAAAAAAGGGAGTTACGTGGTTAATTAATAAGAAAGATTGATACCTTTGTTATATTGACTTTAGTCCTACGCCCTTGAGAACTGCCTTGTTTTGCTAAAAGCAGGTGTTTTTCTTGTCCTACAGGTAGCAGGGCACTGTACTTTTTCTTCCCTCAGGACCAGCTATGCCACAGAAATCTAGTGTTGCAACCCATCCAAGAGTTCCCAAAGTCTCCTCTAGATAGCTGGGAATATTTCATAGTTTCAAAGTTAATGTTAATACCTGTGAAACTTTGGAGTACTGCTGCAGCATTTTCCAATCTGATTGCATTTTGCTATGTCTTCGATATAATTATATTACATGGGAAGTGATAAGAGACCCATCTGACCAAACACACTGAAGAGCAATGCAATCAAAATCAAGCCTCAGCACAGCTTTTAGTTTCCCTTGAGCAGCACTTCCCAGTATTTTTCAATAACAAACGCATCCCATGATCTAGCTGCACTTGCTGAAGACCCACCAAGTGTTGGGGCTGCGGACCTGCTGTGTAAAAGTCAAGTCCAGCTGAGAACAGCACACTCTGTCTGCACAGTCTCCATTAAACTGCAGTCCAGCTACTCTGGGACGTCAGCCAGCTCTGCAGGGAACCGCCGCAGGTATTGTAAATTAGAATAGCTGCCAGGAGGACCAGCTCTTAATCTGAAATGTGAAGCTATAAAACGGACATAAAATTTCTGTTTCCTGTACTTATTCTTACATTTTGCAAGGCATAGCACAGCATCTATCTCACTGTATTTCATGACTAATTTGTTGCCTATGTGAGTCTGAAATGCAAAGAAATACTGGCATAGACAAGGGAAAGAAGTGCCACAGCTCCGCCAATGAGGAAACTTCTCCCTCAAGTTGCAGATTAATTTTACTTAAATGGGAATCATCTGCTCTAGTCTCTTATTTCCACCCTTTTAGACAATCTATGTACCACTGCCTTTGTTCAACCATTAGGACCCCAAATAAAACTGTCGCTTACCCCAGGCACAGGTTCACCACATTCCATGATGTCTTTGATCAATTTGCTTCTCTCTGATAATGATGATAACTCATTTTGGAGAAGGTCACCAGTGGACAGGTGAGTAAATCCATATTTCTTGGCTAACTGTTCACATTGGCTACCTTTGCCAGAGCCAGGGCCACCTTTGTCAGGGAAAAATATCTAGAATTAGAAAAGAATAAGTATCTGCCTTTTCTCAAACCATAGCAACCAAGAAAATGGGAGAAAATTGATGAGACTGCCTATTTTGCAAATTTTTTTTCGAAGACACTCTATACAGTAGAACAAGTCATATACTTCCCTTCCAATACACGACACTGCTGACTCAGAAATGTGTACCAAAGTTGAAGGAGCCACAACAGTGTGAAATCTCTTGCAGAAGAGAATCTGATCCTAAAACACCATTATCATGTAAAGGAAAGACATGAAACAGGCAGTGGGGAAGGGGTTTTGACTTGGTATACATTGAGCTTGATAGCTGCAACAAATACCAGCAAATGAATGTTCATTGCATCTTTGTGAGGGAAATCCTTTGCCCTCATTTATGGAATGGAAAGGTATAGGCAAAGAGATGGTGAAACCTGCCTCTGTTATGTGGGATGCACATAGGTGTACAGTAACTAAACCTTTTGCACTGTGGTAAACTTAAGAGCAAAATGTCACTGTGCTTGCACCTTTTCCCTTTGAGCTGGAAAGCTCTCATGTGCTGGCATGCCTGCTGATAACTGAGAGCCAGGTACTGAAGCTGCTGAACGCTGATGAAGGCTCAGTCATGCTGCTCCCTGCAGCCACAGTACTGGCTTGCTCTTCAAGCACGCTGCAGGGAAATTAACAGTAAAGGGCCCAGCAATGAAGGGCACATGAAGCCCTTGCCACCACCCTACACCCACAAGTGTACTCAGTCAGGAGCTGGGAAGCCATATCTGGACTGGGAAGCTCTATCTGAACCAGGCCCAGAGTTAAACAATCCAAGGGTCTCAGGTGACAGGGTGCTCAGGTGAAGCTGCTGAAGTGATTTTTCCACAGCTGAAGGGAAGGTACCTGTGGCCGGCCCCAGCTCACCACAGCTGTGGGCTGGTTGCTCACACCTCCTGGGGGCCTGTGTGGAGACAGAGAGGGCGGGAGAAGGGCAGCAACTCAGGTGAATGCTGCAGGTGTCCTTCTGTCAGAAATGGCACCTCAAGTCTCCCTGCTTCCTTCAGCAGGAGAGCTGCCAACCCCTCAAGAGCCCCAAAACTCTGCCTCTCTTGGATGCTTGTCTGGCAAGTGCCCTTTATTTGGGGCTATTTCAGAGGCTCTGGGCACCCACTGCTCTGCAAGTGTTGGTGTTGTCCTGTCCCACCTTGCTCTGCAGGTGGCTGGTTTTCCTTCCTCAGCCTGATGGCTGACCCTGTGAAATGCTGAATACCTCTTCAGCTGCTTGCTGAGTGGCAACAGCCACCCTAACCCGGCTGGAAGGATGGGCAGTCTGTGGAAATTGCTGGAAGCTACTTCTTGGGGATTCCGCTCCTGTGACAGTGAGCTCCAGAGCTGCTGGCAGAGCTGAGGTGAGCACCCTGTGTGGAAGGGCTGAACTGGCTGGGGAGGGCTGGGGGGCCATGTTGGGGGAGGCCAGGAGAGCAAATTTCTGTCGTGATTATACTAGGATTTAGGGAGAAATTTCAAGGTGTGTAGCAGCATTTTTATAATCTCTGATGGATCTATTCAGAAGATGTACTGCAGTAGGAGGCAATTATACCCTTATAGGGAGACAGTGCTCAAAAATCAAAAGAAGAGGCAAGGCCAAAAAAAAAAAAAAACCACCTCTTTTCAATAAAGTTTTTAAAGCATGTGACTTGTATGTTTATCAACTGTTGGGACTTGCAAATATGACTACATAGCTCTATTATGTGAATTTAAGATGCTAGAAAATACATGATTTTCCTTTTTGATTATATTTCCATGAACAAATACAGAAATAACATTCACAGTAGAGCAAATCTGGCACCATCTCCTCATGAACATTCTTCTAACTTTTGCATTCAATTTAAGAAATAAGTGCTCCAAGCATGTAATTTTCAGAGCTGAGAATAAAAATTGGGTCATAAAGCAGTAGCATCAAAGGAACATTTTTGTCTAATGTAACCTGGAGTCTTTTACTTCAGCTTCACAAATATAATTATCAGCCCATGGTGTGAGAATCACACTTGTGCCTCAATTCTAGCTAGAAATATCTTTGTCACAGTCTCACTTTCTTTCCAACGTGGGTTGCGTGTTGTTGTTCTATTGCATTAAGAAGATTCTTTTGTAAAAGCACTGACTGAAAGAAACCAAGGAATAAATAAGAGTGGCTACAGAGACATCACAGGCAAATTATCTGTAATGAGACTTAAAATTAATTGCCACTACAGATATTTATCTCTGGTGTGTTTTGGTTTTTTAGATTTTAGAAGTTTGTGTGTGCTTGTTTACACATTCTGTTTCCTGGCCTTGAATACACTAGTAGTACAGTAACTTAATCCTATGTATTTGGTGTATACATATAGTATTAGAAAAAAAATTACAGTGTTAGATTTAAAGATTACTTTGTTTCATATATAACTGTTTCTCCTCTGAATACAGAGCTGAAACAGAAATTTCATAATGTCCCTTCATATACTAAATAAATCAGAACTATTTTTAGAAATAACAATACAAGGACAATTTTTGGTTGTTTAGCTAGCAGGTAAATGTTCAGAAAAGTTGATGTGTTTTTATAATACAAATCTGTTAGTATTTTAAAAGAGAATGTTGTCAGAATGACCTATTATGTAGGGTACACACCATAATGAGCATTACTATGCCTTCAAAACCTTAATTAAAATTGACCATGTTTATTTTTTATAGAAGAGTTCCAACAAAGCTGAGATTAAAATGCTGAGCTCTTTAAAGAGGAAAAGATGTAATTAAATAACAGTTATGTGATGAAAATGGTAATTTGTATGGCCACTGCTATTAATTTAGTCTCATTTGATGAGTAGCAAAGCATCCAACTGCTTAACAAATATATATGACTCACTTTACAAAGTCTTGTGCTTTCTTATCAACAAATAAGACCACAGTTCTTGCTTGGCCTGATCTGAGAAGAGGCTGAACGCCCCCAGGAAATTCAGCACCGAGGCCCAAACACATACTCAGCATTTATGCCAGTATTAATTTACATGCCTCAAGTTCAAGTATTAGCTAATGTCTTGTCTCCCTCTGAAGGCCAGTATTTAATGTGATTGAAAAAGAGCTATTTAGGTGGGAAAGAATGTGGAAGTGTATTTCATTGCTCATTAGATATTTCTTTCTGGCTCATTGTATATACTCAGAGGACTGCTCCCTAAGCAGCTTTAACAGCAAATTAACCCTGCAGTCATTAGGCTTATTATCAATTTGTAGTGTTGCAAAATTTGTACATCATTCTTTTTAGAGGGTCTCTTTATTAAATCTATGCATTTTTCTTAAAAAATGAGAAAATAATAATTTAATTGAAAGTTTATAAGGAATAGCTGCATATTAAATATAACAGAAGCTAGCACAAAGATATTTTCAGTTAAGAAGCCTTTACTGCAACTTGTTATGTGGTTTTTCAAACAGAAAAAGCTTGAGACATTGAAAAAGGTAGTGAAGTTTTCCCAATGGCTCAATTGTTAGGAGGAGGAAAATATGCCCCCACTTTTGTTGTGAAGGCGTAAGATTCTTTGTGAACACTGTCATTTTTTCTGTATTCTGTCATCTTTTCCTCTGCCTACATATATTATGGGAAAAAAATAAAATTGTGTTAACCAGTGACAGACTGATTCACGGCAACTTGCTCTTCAGATTAATCATGCTGTCTTCCTCTTTTCATATATGACGTGAAGATAATGAGTTAAAGCCCAGAAAATGGCCAGAGGAATTATGAGTATGCTGTGGTCTGTAGGAGAATGTAGAAGAACTACTAGCAGTTCTCCAGTGTTAGCATGCTTTTATATTATGCTGGTACTACCAAGTGCAGTACATCTTGCTTTAAAGCTTATTCATTAACTTAGAAAAAGTTGCAGATTCAGAAATTAAGCATGTTGTATCAGCCAGTGTGATTATTCTTGGAAATGGAATCCTTTGTGTGTCCCTTCGTGCTTTCTGATACGAACAGTAAGCAAGTATCTGGAACCAGGGTACTAGACAGAGCATAAAAATTAAATGCAGTTCTGCACATTGCTTTTCTGTAGACAAGGCTGAATTAAAAGGTGTATGCACTCCCTTAGTGCAATTTTCCCTGCCATTATGTTGATTCAGCTGCCTGTGAAACTGTGTAAGGGGATCTTCTGGTAAATAACTTTCTGCTGACTTAGGTGGTCATCATTCCCCATTTAATTATTGAATGTGGAAATGCCTCATGGACAGCACTTCAAGGGGAGAAAAAGAGTGGTCTCAGTGGGTAGGAGAAATAACAACTGCCCAAGCAGCGCTTCTGAATGTTTAACTGCAGTTCGCCTTAGATCAGTGAAAGATCTCAGTTTAAAAAATAGTCTCTCACACCTGCTCTCCCTCATGCTCCAATCCCCCCCAGACTATGAAAGACTGCAAGCCTAGGCATGTGATTCAAATGTACTGGTCTGGCCTAGAGCGCAACATCACAAGGAGATGAATTAATGATGCTAGAGGGAGCCGGGACTGCTGCTGGGAGCAAGCTGGGACAGGAACAAGCAATGTGAGCAGTTCATGAACTGGCTTTGCTGACAGAATTATTAATAAAGCAGAAGTGTCATACAGACAGATTGGGATGTCTCTATTTTAAACTTGCCAAATCTTAGCAACATAAGCATTTACATAAAATGCCAGCAGCAGGATTTACAAGAGAATCTTGCCATTCATTTTAAAATGTTTCCATTTCTAGACCTTATTTTCATAATGAGTATCATCCCTGTATCATGGAAAAGTTCTTGCAGGGGAAACCTGGCTGCTCAATGGAACCTCAGAAGTCAGAAATGAAATAAAAATAACTCGAGTCGGGCTCTCCTTATATTCAAGATACAATTTTTGGAGGATATGATCAGTTGGCAATTCTATCAATGCTACTGGGATTATTTATACAAATAAAAATAAGCCTTAGCTTCAGAATATGGCATTTGAAGGCTTCTCAGTAGCACCTCATCTGTTGTTCACTTATGATTTTAGTCTGAGTGAAACTATATAGGAATGATGCTGTTATTCAAAAACAGCAACAAAAAACTGTCAATGGTTTTTTTTCCTGAAAGATGATTTTAATCAGAAAACAACCTGGAGCACATGTTGGCAGTGATGTGTCCCCCTAGTGAAGCTAGTGTTTGCAGCTGATAATGTTTTACGTGTAAGTGTAGGTGGTGATAATATCTTCAGAGTGTCAGCTGAAAAGCTGGTCTTATTTACACTGAGCTTAACCTACCATCAGCTTTGTTTCATCAACAAGAACATGACAAGGGTTCTGCAGAGGATATTGGTTACACTAAGTTTTAAACACTACATTTAAGAGTAAGTGGGGAGTTTGTCTCTAATCCAAAGTGCAGAAAGATTCCTGAAAAGTTTCTGGTTTGGTTTCAGTCTCGGCCAAAGCCAAAGGTGGTGATGTTTTATGAAACTCTTGTGGAGGACAGGGAGGGATAATGCTCCCAGTAACTTTGTTATGTACCACAATTTTCTGTATGTGATATAGACTGTCGCATTAGTTAAGAATGATAAAATCATACATCATTCATTGGGGTTAAGATTTTACTGTTCATGTTCTGATGACTTGCTGGTTCTACGTCTCTGCTGTCTAGATAAAACATTGACGTTGTTGCTTAATTAATCTGAGTTGACTCTTACTGCAATTAATTCCTATGTTAGCTCTAAAATAAATCTTTGCTAATTAGATTATTTTTTTCTTTCCCTTTTTGGTCCATTTTCAAGGGAAATTAGTTGGGGAGGGAATTGTCTGCTTTTTTCCTTTGTCTTATAAACAGTATCTCAATTTGTCAGCTATGGCAGATGGTGTATTTATTTCAATTAGTTTGTAAACGACTTCAAATGCACATCTCTAGAACTCTAGTTTTAAAACATCTTTATAAGCATCTTATTATTTCCTCATGAAGACAGCTATGTAATGGGTAAACATTCCTAATGACACCTGAGAAATAGGCGTCCCATTCTCATATCTACAGCAGCATGCTCCAAACCATCTTCTCTGCTTTCTTTCTAATCAAGGTATCACGGGCTGAATATTTCTAGTGCTGTCCACTGCAATGGAGTACTTAGCTTTTTTTTTTTCTTCAAAGATTTCTTTTGTCCTTGTACAATTCAGAGTGATTGGACTTCAGCTCTTGATTGACATATAAGACAAGTTTTCTGCCTAGGCAAATGGTACGCATTTGGCTAGTGTGTATAATGTTCAACCTGGAGTGCATGTTGGTCAACAAGTGATTTAGCCAGATTTAAGTGCCTGAAAAAGCCATAGAGAAAAAGAACTTGTGACCACTCCAACCTAGTACCAGCAAGAAATCTGTCTCTGGGAAATACCATTTACTTTCACCACCTAGATGGAGTAAAATCAAGATTTGCAGCCAAATGAGCACCATGAAGATCTTGTGTTGGTCACATAAAAAAATCAACCAACCAAAACCAAAAAACCCCCCACAAAAACACCCCCCAAAAACCCAGGAAAAAAAAATATATATACCCTCACTCCTCATATTAGCCTTCAAGAAGATTTTTTGGGATGGAGGGATGAGGGGCAGGGATGGGTGTATTTTGGGAAAAAGTATAAATCATTCTACATAATCTGTTGACAAGTAACCCATGTTTGGACTTAGCCAAATTTTTCATTATAGCATTTTTCAACAAAGAAAACTTAGACTTTTGGTTAAGCAGAATTTTCCTCTGTTCCTAGAAAGCATTTACTAGAAAGTCAGGCATGGATTTAGGAGCAGGAATAAATAGGGAAAAAGTATGTTTTCAGTTTTAGGCTGGAAGATGTCTAGTAGATAGCCTATAAAAATATAGATGAAAATTAAAAGCTACTCTTTGAAAAAGAAAAAGCAGTCCAGAGGTAAATTAAAAATATGCCTTACCATGAAAAATTTCAGAGGCAAAGGCCATTGAGTGTCTTCACTTAAAAAAAACAACAAAAAAACAAAAAAACAAAAAAAACCCAAAAACTATGTTTGCACAAACCCAAACATAATTTTCCAATAAGATATGTGAGGCAGACAGAATGAAAATTTGTCACTGTAGCAAACAGCAGGAAGATGTACTTCAGTAAGTATGGAATTATGGTTTGCTTAAAGACTGAAAATTAAGTGTTATGCATCTTTCACTTAAGAAAAGTCTCCAGTGAACTCTAACTTAATTTTACTTTTTCAAACACATAATATCCACCACAGGTTTGCAATAAATTGAGTCAACTTGTATTTGGTGTAAGATATGGTGAGAGAGAAAAGTATAACACATAAACATGCCATCTTTTAATAAAATCCTTTAGGTCGGAAAAATCTAACACCTCTGTTACAGCAGGGTCAGCTAGAGCAGGTTGTTCAGACTCCAGTCTCTCTGGGCAACCTGTTCCATGGTTTTTCCACCCTAACAATAAAAATGTGTTTTCTTGTGTTCAGATAGAATTTAATGTATTTTAAGTGGTCCTCATTTTCTCTTGTCATGTCACTGGGCAATACTGAGAAAATTCTGTCTTCCCCCATCTTTACTCCCTCCCATTGGGTATTTATACATATTGATAAGATCCCCTGGAGCCTCTTCTTCTTCAGGCTGAAGAGTCTGAGCTCTCAGCCTCTCCTCATATGAAAGATGCTCCTGTCCCTCAAACATCTTTGAGGTCCTGAGCCAGACTTGCTCCAGTAAGTCATCATCTTTCTTGTGCTGGGGAGCCTTGCTAGTGCTGAATAGGAAGGAAGGATCACCTCCTTCAACCTGCTGGTATTGGAATGTTTTTTGATGCCTCCTGATTTCTGAATGAAACTTCCATTCATTTATGACTAATTTCAGAAGTCACTTCCCCCCCCCCCCCCCCAACACACACCCCCCCCATTAGGAAAAAGGACGTGCAAAGTGACTTGCTTTTATGTAAAATTACCCACATTTCAATATCTATCATTAGGTCCTTGGAAATGTGTTGTTCCTGCTCTGTATTGTAAAGCAGTTCTCAAAAATTCCGCTTGTTACAAAAGTAATTATTCTTTCTATGTAACTAATACCAAACTTTAAGCTGAGATTTGTAAATCTTCTGGTTATAGTTTGTCTTAAAATGCTGTTCAAAGCTTATGCTAATTACCTTAGTCACATTTATATAATAATGAGCATTAACATGGTGCTTTTCCTCTGTCGACTTCCAGAAAGCAAATATAAAGTAAATCTTGCACCTGCAAAGCCTCAGTACATGCCAAGCATCATGCATGGTGACTAGCCCATTGACTTTTTTTACAGCATGTTGAGCATGTGCAGAATTGAAACCTGTATTTACAAAAGTTGTTTCACAGATGAAAAGGTGAAGACCTGATTTTTATTTTTTTTTTCACCTAAACCTCAAAATTCTGAGTTATACATCCAATCTAGTAACTTTTTAACTAATGCTGGTAAGGCAGCTTTGCTGTGGGAGATCACACAATGCTACTGTAACTGCACAAGAACTACGGTCATTTTGAATATGTTCACACTCAAACATACCTCCTGCTCTGAGCTTTCCACAACTGTTGTTAGCGTGGTCAGACCCCCACTAATAACATGATATTAAATCCTAACTCCCTTTCAAAAGACTAAATGGCCATTGTAGTATAAATACTTTTAACCAAACTGTTCTGCTACACTTTAAAAGAAATCATATACTTATAATCAAAACCAATTAACATGGAGATTTTCAAATGTAGCAGTTAAATTAGGAATCCTACTTACCAACTACAAAAATTATGTTTGATTTCCTCAGATCTTCTGAAAAGTCTAGAATGAAAATAAAAATTCTTTAGTGGGCAAGAGCTACTAATTTTAATCTTACCTAGTTTCTACACTGAATTGTGTAACATTTGTGCAAGGCAATCTGATTTTACTAGATTTACTTTCTCCTATAATTCTCTCCATTCCAAAAGGAGCTATTATCTACAAGCCTATTTATCTCCCAGTTTTGTAGTTCTCACTGCAGATATGATAAAAATATTTTATCTGAAAATTAGACCTTGCACATACACATCAGTTATTTAAAAAAGAGAAAGAGGAAAAAGAGAAGCAGATGCATTGTGATGTAATAACGTGCCTCCTGAGCCATCGCATTTTCCTCTGAATATGTTATTACATTATAATTGCTATAGATGTTTGCCCACGTCCCATTCAGATTTTATATTCAGTGCACTACATAAGAGATACGGTCTTAAATTTCCCTGAGCTTCAAATTCAGCCAAATAATAATAATTTTAAACTGAAATCCAGGTATTATTGTCATTTTGGCACTAAAACTACTGCATGTGCTACAGCTTTGCCTTTTACTGAAATTGTAATTTTTTTAAAAAAGCATTTCCTTCTAGTGTGAGTCCCAGTCATTGGCCTGATTATACCAGTATGGAAGGTGATCTTACACCATCTGAGCCTGCTAGAATTTTATTTGTCTTTGACATCTCTCATTACATAATATCATCAGCAGTAAAAGGTTTTGATTAATCCTTTCATTCCTCTTAGATTCTCAGCAGCTCATGCTTTCCAACAAGCTTTTCATAACTACCAATTTCTGAAAACACCTATGAGATCTGATGCTGATTAACAGTAATATTTTCTGATAATTTTGGATTCACTGGCCTAAAGAGGGTAGAAATGTCTTTTACAAGCTTTAATTTGCATTCAAAGAGAATTCACATGATAAAATCATTTGAGATGTAACTTTCACAATATAAGTAACCTGAATTCACTTTACCTTCTAACTATTTAAATACAAGGGGAAACCAAAGGTTTCAAAATTAAATGACAAATGATACTGAAAAAGAAACTCACCTCCTGTGCTCTCATAACCAGAAAAACTCGACTGATCCTCCTCCTGTTAATTAAGCAGTTGACAAATTGAAATGGATATTCTGCATAGTATGCATTTCTTCTTACAGCTGCTTATCTGCATATCTTAATATCTTCTCCATATTCTAACCTTTTACTTGTAATCTCTGTTGAGGTATGGTTAACAATGTCACAGAAATGCCATTGGTAGAACATGAGCGTGGAGAACTTAAGACAACTTCAGATGATTAATTGTTTCTGCGAGGAACAGTGTCCAACTGCGCAGATCCAGCACAATATATAAGCAACCAGTGTGTATGCTGAATTGCTTCTGAAGTAAATATGGTATGATAAACTGTTACTGGTGGAAAAGCAATATTGGAGTAAGTTCTAGAAGTGATGAAATTAATCTTTGGTCTAAACCAACTTGAATGTGTGTACCTTCAGAATGCAACACAAGCTACAAGTTGTTACAAAGGCTGCTGAGCTACAAAGAGGGATTACACCAGCAAAATGGGGAACTTGGCATGTTTGGGGTTTTCTTCCACGATACTTGGCCACTTATAATCATTTTGTCATATAGTGTGTAGTACACCCAATGAGGAATTACAAATACTGGCCAGCAAGAGTGTCAGAGTGGGAATTCTTTGTTGTTTCTATAAATCAGAATTATATATATGCTGGACATAGTCTAGGTTATGTAGTGTCAACATACTCACACCATCAGTGCTTTAGTCTATAGAATATCAAGAATAGCACTGACAGTAACTGCTCGTATTACATCAGCGCATATATCAGCATGGAATACTTTATGCTATTTTGAGAGGACTAGCATAGGGTTTTCAAGCTGTAGTTTCTTACAGATCTGCTTCAGTATGCTGTCAGAAATAGCCACCGTTAGAAATTTGTATAACTGCGTGAATAGATGAAGTGAAATGAACAGCATGGTGAGTAGAACAGGTAAATTGCTGGCCACTAATTTGCAAGGCTCTTGCACTACCCTTGCAGGTTTCTCCTTGTGTTCCCATTGTCACTGAAACAGAAGTACTCTTCATTAGGCTGAAGTACCATTACAATGGCTACATAGAACACTTTCAGTTTTTGATTCACAGTAATTCTCAGCCTATTACACTGCAGCAGGAGAACTGCCATCTTAAAAAAAGTAAATAAAATTTAAAAAGCAAAATTTAAAAAAGCAACTGGATCCACTAAGTTTGCAGAAGAGTGTTTCAGGAAAACAAAAACCAAAACATTTGAAAATAAGAAATTAATTTCTTTCCTACAACTCAAGTGACAGTATTAACCAGACATGCTTTTTCTTTCCTGTAATAATACAATAAACTGTTTGACCCTGCAAAGGATACGTTGCATATAAAAGGCCTGGTTTCAGATTCACCTTCTTATCATGCTTTTGAAGGTTTATGTATCAAAATCATTTTAGGCACAAAGTTTAGAGTAAAGTTTCTTTAAAAATCAAAATCACAGTTACAAGTTTATGATCAAATGAAAGACACATTACTTCTTTCAGGTAATGCTCTTTGTTCTCCCCTATAATTGCAGAATGAAACTGCCTCCATAACTCTGGTGGGCTGCTCAGAGCAGCAGGTGATAATAAAGGTCTGTTTAAGTCAGGAAAAGGTCTAATTTTTTTAGAGCTGAAATATGCAAAAACTAGAGACAGAACTGAAGCTAAATAAGCTGTCAGGTGCTTTTATTTGACCAACCATATCTGCTTTAATAGGTTAAATATATCTGCTATATAGGTTAAGCCAAAGTGCTTTGGAAAAATAACTGTTGGATTTAGCAAATGATCAAATAAAGAAAAGTCTGACGAATTACTAGATTGCTAATAGTATTTTACATCACATTGCTATCAGGAATACAGTGATTTAGCAGCAGAACAGTCTTTGTATTCTCAGTATAGCTGCTTCCATTTAGGTGAAAGCAAGATGAGGAAGATTATAATCTTATATGTAATGAGCCCTGAAGAAAGGTGGGTAGTCTCTAATTTTGGATGCCTTTAGAGCCAGGTTATATCTACAAATATCATCTGGAAACTTATCAATTAGTGGGGCATAGCTGACTGTAACTGTTTAAACAATATCAACAGCACATTAAAAGGATTACTAAATAGAGAAATTTGCCACCTGTAAAGAATCTCTTTATCTGACATTTGCTTTTAGAGTTGGACAATGCAGGCTTCTGACTGTATTCCAACTTCTTGTTATTTAGCTCATTATCAGTAAATATCTGACTAGTAGTAGGTACTTCATAGGTTAATGAGTTTAAGTTACTGCCTGTCATTGCTAGGTTGTGAAGCAATTTCCATAATAAAACAAACTGACAGTAAGTCACAGCATATAATAAGGAAATGATACAGAATTCTCTAGGTCTTTGAGTTCTGCTACTGATTAATTGGGACTCTTAAGTCATATCACTTTAAAGAAAGCAATAAAATACCTTTTTTTTAAAAAAACACATCTAATTATGGGACATTTTCTTCATTAGGATTTAACGATGTGAATGTTTACCTGATGAAATGAGAGAGCTTTTCTGTTACCCATTAACAACCTCTGCTCCAGTCCTTGATTTGAATGTTTGTTTTTTAACATGGAAAAGAAAAAAAGTTCTGTCTTATCACCTTGTTGTTGCTTGAATGCTTCGTGAAAATAGTGGTGAAAAGTGCCCAATACATTTTATTTAGACTTCTAAAAGGTATAACAAGAGTTTCTCCTAGAAATTTACTGAAGAGGATAAATAATCATGGACTAAGAAGAAAAGAGACAGTAGAGCAAGACTGAATTTAAAATACAGCATGACTGTTGCCTAAAATTATGCTCAGTTTTCAAGATTGAATTTGAGAATGTAAATATTCAAAGGAACATGTCAGGCACAAATTATTCAAACAAATAAAAACTACATGTTTCTCTGCCTAAAAATATTTGTTGAGAATTGAATCAATGTGTAAGCAAAAAAAAAAAACAAAACAACCCACAAAAACAAACAAACCAACCCCCAAACAAACCCAACCGAACCCAAAAGCAGCATACACAAACATTATGTTTAATTAATACAGAATGACATGATGTATACAGTAGAAAGTACAGGCAAGAATTGACTATGTAGATTTATCATGGCAATCTCATCAGCATCCCTTTGATGGGAATGTAGGTATATAACCATCAATTTCTCAGCACACTTTAGTTGTATAAATCTCCCTTAGCTGTTGTTAGGTATGCAAAACACTTGTACTCCTGTAGCATTTTATTTCTTCAAAGAACACTACAGTTCCACATCAATTTTCCCTGTACTTCCTTTGGGAATAGAGGCAAGGGAATTATTTCCATTTTAACAGAGATATTAGGTGACTTGTTAATATAAACACAGCTATATATGGAAGCAGAACTAGGTTTAGGATTTAGATTTCCACTTTCACCTCTTTAGCCTGTAGTATATTTACTTTGAATTCTTAGACCTTAATAAAGTAATATTGAATGAAATCTTAAATATTTTCAGATGATGCTTCTATATCTATTACCCTTAAAATCAACTTTAGCTCTCAGTTAAATAAACTCTCTTAATGATTAAGAACAGTTTAGGGAATCAGAAAGCAGTATGAGATGTCTGTTGAGCACCATCTGCACGTACAATTTGTCTGCTTCAGCACAGTCCAGTTTGTCGCAATCTGTGTGGTTTGAGTTTGACATGTGTTTGCAACTGGATTTAATAGGCATATACCTTATCACAGAGGATGGTCTTTTGGATTAGATGTATGCAGCCTCTGTTTATAAAAATGTAGTTATCACTGAGTGGTGTCCTTACATATATGGGAAAATGTAAAGACCCTGAGCAACCTTTAGCTAGGCAAAGTTAAGCATCGGAAGAAATTGGGACTAGTCAGAGCTCAGCTGTCGAATTTGTCTTTTAAATTCCTGTTTTCTGCCTGTAAGAGCGAATGATTGGTTTTTAGGAGATATGCAGGGTTAGCTGCAGGTTTTATGTATGGGCAGTGGTCCCCGGGAACAGATTTTATGAACTATACAGTTGCTTGCCATTAAATTTGATTTATGATTCAAATAACTTTTTGAGACTGAGCTGCTTTCTGCAAGCTGTGTGTTAAAGTATGTTAAAGCAGGGGTGGCTGTGCTCTGATCTACTCTGGTCCGGAATTAATGAATATGTGTAAATAAGATAAGAAACAGTATGCATTCAGACCTCAAGGCTTTTCTTTCCCTGAAAGGCATTATCTTCTTATACAGTTCATACTGCTCAGCAGAGTGGAGTAGTTTGTGTCAAAAAGGGACTAACAATAATTAAGATGAGAGAACATTGCTAATGTTATTTGAAGTGATTTTTGTTTATTTGGAGTGCGTACAACTCGAAAGTGCAAAAAAACCAGTGTTTGTAATAGCATCTACAAAATACTGACAGATTATTAGATCGCTATGATTCCCTTTTACTTTTGAGTATCTAGCAACAACAAGAATGTCTATGCCATTATTCTTTTAAAATAAACCTTATTATCAGTTCTTAAAATAAAACAAATTTATGCCTATATACAGAGATAGAGATTAACTCATTTTTAAAACTTGTAAACCAAGATTGAGTTATCTGGCTTTTAATGATACGCAAGATTTTTTCAGATTCTTCATTCTTGTTCTTCAGTGGCTTAAAGAAGAGCACCTATCAGTAAAGGGGAAAAAATCAAGATCTGTTTGCTACAGTGTGTGAGGGTTGGGTTTTCATTAACTTCTGTAGGGCTTTTTAATGACAAAAATACATGTGATTATTAAGCATGAAAATGAAAGCAAAATTCATTTAGTTTCATATTGATTTCCAGACAGTAGAAAACTGGAAAAAAAATAATCAAACAAATTAACTTTTAAGGGCAAACTTAGCAGCAATAAGAACACCCCTCCCAGCACGGTAGCATTTTGCAGCAGCATAAATGTGTTCTGGTAAACCAAACACTTCATTTGCAACTGGGTTTAAAAGGCTGAGCTAGAGGGAACAACATTATGTTTAACTCGAAGTCAGGGCTTGATT